TTTAGAGAGGAACACAATCAAATACCATTAATGCACCCTGTCATGGACGCCGATTTATTACGAGATTTAAATATTCCACTTATTTTTTGTAACAACCAAGAATCATCATCTAAATTGCTTAAATTGATGATGGAAAAACGGAAAGAACTTTTGGATAAATCTAAGAGCCGCGAGGAGCTTTTGCATGATACAAGTAATAATGAACATGTTTTAGAAAAGGAGGCTGTTGTGGAAACAGCTGCAAAAATAGAGACGCCATCAACAATTCAACAATCCCTTCCACCGCAGCAGGTTCAGCAACCATTCTTGACAACCATCTCTAACATTTCTCGAGTGGATGATCAAAGTGAAAACTCTGAAAGCGAGGAAGAAACAAAAATGTACATTATGGAAGATGATAATTATGAAATTGGAGGTTTTAATACGATACAACAGCCGTTTTCACACGGAACAGAGCCAAAAGAAATCAACAACCAATCGTTTGAACCTGTCAAGACACCTCAAATTTTGGGTCATGTTTCTGAGCGAAAAGAAGAAAGCACAAAAACAGTGTCCTCTCCTTCTTCGGTTCAGTCCATAAGCTTATCAGCAACATCTACAATGGCTCCATCAACTTCAAGCGGCAACGCCCCACAAGTTACGGAACCAAAGAAAAAACGTAAAAGATCCAAGAAGAAGAAAGCAGATGAATCGCAACTAAGAAAGCGAGCTCAAACCTACACCTAATCCATTGGCTCATCTTGGAAAATTCTCCTGCTTAACTCATGAAGATGTCGCCTTCTATTTGAAGGGATTGAAGCAATTTAAAGCATTTCAAAAACAAACGGCTCTATCCAACGCTCTTCCTCCTCCATCCCCATTGTTTTTCAAGCTTAAAAAGATGGTTGAAGAAGAACAAGCAATTTATCGAAAAGCGTTATTTGACGATGCGTGGAATAATAGGCTCGTAAGATATTTTCACACCGATCCTTACATTATGGAACAAGTTGAGAAAATGAAACAAAAAAAGAAGCTCGATCGATTAGTACCACCTACAAGTGTCGCTTCTAATTTCCAGGATATGAAGCACGTCCTTCCACGACATTTTGAGCTTGTCAAATCGATGAATCTATTTAATTTGCAAGCAACCAAGATGTTGGTTTCAACGCCCGCTGGTGCAAGTTCTCTGCAAAATTTTGCTGATCCAATTTTGAAATTTTCCAAAACTATTTATCACACTTCAGACAAGTACTTTACCTATCATAGAAACACTCTTATTTATCAACAAGAGAGTGCAGAACAAATAGATGTAGATGATACTGCTGATGAGACATCTTCAACCGTTAAACCTGTCAAGATACCAAAATTACCTATCAGCACCAATATTTACAAAGTGGATGACCCATCCTTGAATCCTATATCTGCCATGGATAACTCATCAGCAGTCTCCACCGATCACTCAGCTATTAATGTTGTCTATGATCCTCTCAAGCATTTACAAAAATCCACATCTTCCATGAATGTATATTTACACCGTAATTTACCACAAGTGTCAGATGATTGCATTATTAATGATATTATATTACCAAGGTTTCCAGAAATTGATTTCGTTTGTGCAAGCAGCGCAATGTCTGCACTTGTGAATACTTTAGGTCCTAACTTCTCAGAGGAATGGTGTATTCCAGTAATTGCTAAACCTTATTCTAGCTCTACGACTAGTGGTGATACAACCGTGTCACAAAACAAGTTTACAATATTCTTAGAAAAACCCTTACTCAAAAAAGTATGGACGCAACGAGATGTGAATCAAATGTATTACAAGTATGCGATCAAAACAGTCTCTCTCAGAGAGCCATTGATTCATGTTCCCTCAAAGACAACCATTCCCACTTTAAATCTCGACGAGCAACAATCATGCGAAAATTTTTCACAGTTAGAACTCATGCATCGTGATGGAGAACCAATTTCATATAATTTATTTACACTTGGAAATTGGAAAATATTATTTCGAACAAAAATAGATGGAGCGTATAATGACGTCAAAACAGATCGAGCAACTGTTGTGAAATTAATCACCAAACTTGAATATCAAACAGAGAAAGGACTTGAACTTTCAACACAAAGCGAATTGGCAAAATGGTGGACCAATGTCTTTTTGAGACCTGCTTCTGCAATTATTGTGAATCGAGTAGATGTAGCACAAAATAGAGTTTGTAGAACAGAATTCAAACGAGTCAAAGATGTGCTTCCAGAAGTAGAGGATGAAGAGGAAGAAAATGAAAGATATTGGTCCAATGTGTTGACATCAAATTTGTCATCTCATGGAGTGGCTGGAGGAGGTGCAAATTGTGGATTTCAACCACAATTATCCATTCAAACTGTGTATGGAGTGTTGACAGAATTGATGAATCTCATCTCTACATTTAATGCGCACAACTTGCTTGATTATCGATTTTTGATTCAAAAGATGGCCAACGAACCATATATTCACTTGTTGGTGGAACATAGAAAATCATCCTCAGTTGATTCGTTGATACCAAGAAGTCAAAAATTTTATTATGATCTGCACATGGATTATGAGAAACATGGAGGAGTAAACGATCTAAATAAGATGGATTACATTCCTTGACATGGAAAAGCAAAAAGCAAATCCCATACACTTTTCCAATCAGACCCTCGCAGACGTCGACCAAAGAAAAACACAAAAGAAAAAACAAGGGTGGTGGCAAATCAGATCAAAGTACCAAGAAAGCAAAGCAGTGATGAGTTTATTAAAACGCAATTTTGCATTTGGTATATATACCCCTTTTTCTATGGTCTGTTTCTAAAATCCAATTCACTACTCAAAATGTGTTGGTAGTAGAGTTTTCATGTTGTAGTGAATCACAACATCACCAGAAGACTTTCCTTCAAGCTGCTTATTGAGAGAAATACGGCCAGCCTCTAAAATGGCTGTTGTTAACACAGATGCAGACAACATGGCTGCATGGCAACATGTGTCATTCTCAGTGATTGCATTTTGAATGACATCTACGGTTGGTAATTGTTGCTTGAGAAGATCCAAATCGGTGACCAGTGAATTTTCATACAAATAAACACACTCAACAAAACTTGCAAGACTCAAATAGCCATATCCATTTTGTCCAGAAAATCTGCCAAAAACATCAGGTGAATATTTCATAAATAGAGGATTAATAGAACGAAGCCCTGAACTAGCAGTAGCATCGGATGCTACTGTGTATCCACGATGAGCTTGATCGATTGTAATTTCTCCCTTACTACCTTGATACATGAATCGTTGTTGAGAGTGAACATCCGACTTCTTTGGTGCTACCCAAGAACTAGTATAGATGGCAGTACCTTTGAGACATTTAGAAAAGTTTTCCAATGATTCACTTGAATGTTCTTGTGAAATTTTGGAAGACAAGTCAACCCATTGTACAGTGAGGGTTATCGAGTCTTCAGTATTAATGTTAAATGGCTCATTGTTAGCGATACCATAGGATCCACTTGCGAAAACTCTGTATGGTCTCCAAAATCGTTGATGTGAGCTTCTTGTTTCCATTCCATTTAATGCCCAACAATGAAAATCAATATGATGCGAGTTTAAATAATAGGAAATATCACTATGAGATGCCCAATTCTTAAAAGTAATTAATTGTGAACTAGGTTGAGACATGTAACTCGAAAAATAAGAAAAATCTCCAATTTCATCAGCGTTCAAAATTCGATCTCGTGCATCTGAATAGATTGGATCCCATCTCTTGTGAACCTCCACACCAACCAGTACATGCTCTTTACGAATGGCATTAATCAATTCATAGTGATGTTCCAATTTTTGGACGAGTGGTTTTGCTACAAGTACGTGCATGCCACTGTTAATGCATTCCAATGCAATTTCAAAATGTGTATGATCTGGAGTGAATATAAAAACAACATCTCCCTTATTTAATCTTCTCAATCCTTCCCTATAGGCATGAATATCTTTTGCAACCGAATCCGCAGGAAATGTTTCTGTAAGATATTCATTCACAATAGACTCTGTCTTATCACTAGTCGTACCAGAAATATTTGCTTCAAAATTATATCTACTCAATCCTCTCTTCAAATGATTTCTAATTCCTGGAAATTTGGTTCCTTGTGTTCCAGCAAGGTAAATATTTTGTACTTTTCCTCTCCGACGTAAATCAAAAAGGGTTAGCAATACCACTCCGATGGGCTTATCCGATTGAGATGCTGATTCATGAACATATCCTGTAACGTATTCTCCAATACCAATGACCAGAACATTGGGTAATCTTTGAGTAGTGGTGTTTGATGAAGCTGAAGAGGAGGGTGTGGGGATGCCGTACGACAAGGAGTTAAACATTTTTTTTGCAAAAATAAAAATCTTTTGATATTTATTTTCCTTCAAAGAAATTCTCTGACACATCAGAACTCTTGTTGTTGTTGTCAACAATTATCAATTATTATAAATTGTTGTAAGAACACAAGTTTACTTCAATGATCGCGTTGAACCAACATGCTTATTCATCACAAAATTCCATAAATGTCAAAACGACATTTAGCTCGTCTTTTGGTTGAGAGGTCCAAATTAAGTACCGTTGCCTAACATGGCGAATTGGACGACCTTTCAAGAATAACAGCTCCCTAACTACAATTCTCGTACAAATGCTGTTTGTCAAACAAAAAAAAAAACACACCAAATGCCACACGATACGATGAAACAATATCTCGAGTTATTGCGTCTCCCTGAACAACAACAACAAGTTCAAGACAGCAATTCACTAATCACACAACTACAACCACACGATTCGAAGGAAATTGATCAAGCAGAGGCCATGGTCGGCTCTATCCTTCAAAAGCGTCATCAACAATTAGATCCACAACCATCAGTTGACTCTCAACAATTCATTTCTTCTTCTGTAACAATAACTCATCCATCCATGTATCAAATCCCATGTTGTTCCACATCCTCCGTTCCTAGTTACGACGCGTTATGGAATAACGACAATAAATCTCAACCTGGGCGTCATACGGTCGTCGTTCGCAATGGAAGCGCTCAGAGTGTTGATCGAACCAATGTTGTGACCTTGAGTATCAAACCCTCAATATTCCAAGAGGATGGTCATTCAAATTCAACAACCATGACTCGTCAACAACAACAAGAAGAAGAAGAAGCCTTGATTCGGTGTTTGAATGAATGGATGAACACTGATAAAGAACAGAGAGAACTCTTTGTACGACCGTCACAGGCCACAAACAACCTCATTCCTCCTCCTCCATCACGAATGAAACAAGAAGCACTTTCAATGTATCATCGTCCAATTTCTCCACCCATACAACAACACCATGTTGTCACCACCAAACCACAACAGCAACGATGTCCTGAAGTGTGTCGCTTCTTAGATGCTTTTCTCAGTTGCGCATTGTTTGGGCATTCACCAACTTTGGACACTTTATTTTCCAATTTAGTGAAAACGAGACAACAACCCCTGTCGAATGTTGGTTTGATGTCTGGTCAAAAGGCTTCTGAAATGATGATATCGTTACATGTTGACACAAAGTCTTCTTCCGTAAGACCTGCGGCAAGCGTTAGCAAACCTGTATTACCATCTTGTGTGACGTCAAAAATTTCTAAACCAAGCAAAATGGCGAACAACACAAAAAAAAATACAACTGTGAAATATTCTCCATAAATACGTTATTTGTCTGTTTTCTAGGTTAGATCAAAAGTCATTCCAAATGAATTTCTTCAAACGTCAGCTTGACCTGAGGAGCTGATTTCGCCACAAATTCCTTTGCTCTTCTCATTTTGGAATGAAAATCATTCACTAGAGACGTATTTTGCAAAAAGGAACAACAGCATTGGATGATAATGCATCGTAGTTGAGGCAATTCCTTAATGAGTCCAAGTAAATATAAACCATTCAAGTCGTAGGGAATCTTCAATACTTTCAATTTTTTAAACACCTTCAAGTGTTCCATTTCAATCTCTGTTAGTTGTTGATTTTCAATTTCCAATATTTCTAATGAATCACTACGGATGCGAACAGCTTTTACGAGCTCTTCCAAATAATTGTTATTAAAATTCTGAATAGATCTTGTGGTGAGTGTTGATGCACGAATATGTGGGTGCAATGAGATGGATCCAATCACTAATTGTTTCAACTTGACCAATGGTTGTAAAGCTTGCTCCAATAAAGTTGATAAATTCATGTATGTGAATTCTTGGAAATAAATACACAAGCTTGTAAGGTTTTGATATGGAAATCTTATGGTTGCATTAAAAATTGACAAACTAAGCTTCAATTGTTCCAAGTTCTGCATTTTTGAAAGGCTGTCAATTTGGTGTTGACTTAACATTTGACCTTGTAAACACAAGCTCTTGGTTGCCGAATACGCTTCGAGATGAGGTGGAGGTGGTGAGCACTTATTAGGGCTGAGAGTAGCATCGCTAAAAGAAGGTGAGAGGTTTTTTTGAGGGCGTGTAGAATGGACCCATCGGCGTGTCAACGGCAAAACATGCTTCATTGTTGAGGTAAACCCTGCAATACTCAACTTTTTGAGACGAGGAAATAAAAGATCATCCCCGAGAAATGATAAATTCAATTTCATGGAAGGAGATCCTACATCCAAATTCGAGAGAAGGACAGACAAATCCAAATCAATTTCATGTAGATTGTGCAGTTTTCTTAAAAATAGCTCCATCTCTTCAAATGAGCAAGTATTTTCTCGTTGATGTCGATCAATGAGTTCACTTTGCTCTTTTGAGGCACCATTTGGAAGCCTCTTTCCAGTGAATACGTCTCCAGTAATTACAGCATATCTGTGCAATTCCAAAAGAGGATTACCCCTTAATCTCAATATTTGTAAGTTACTGGTAAAATCTTCTGCAGAGCGCCACGTGTTCAAGGTCTTATTTGTGAGAATTGGATTGACCAGTTCAAGAATTTTCAATTTGTGTAAACTTGAAATGTGTTCTAGAGCATGTATTTCTTTCGGATCATTGCTTGTCGTACCGCTATGTGAGGAATCAGATGAGGGAGTATGTGCTGGGCTACTCGTGATGCTTCCAGGGCTAATGTGATGATGTGTCAGCGTGCATACAATTTTTAATCGCGCCAAATTTGGGCAGCAATTCACAATTAATTGCATGGTCTCAGCTGAAATTGTAGAAACAACAAACGAAAATTCCTTCAATTGTCTTGGAGTCCACATCAAGGTTTTGCTTCCTGAGTGTGACGAGCACAAGCCCAAAAATATAGGTATAACATCATCCTCGATAATTGACAGAAAGGTTAAATTTAAGGATTCCAGTGATGTACAGAGAGAGAGGTAATTCGTCATCGCCTTTCTAGATTTGTTACTCTCTGCTATGTTTGGAGTAATATTGGTTAGGCTTTTCACAGTCAAGGATTTGAGCTTGTTGATACATCTAGACTGCTTCATCAACTCAAATAACCTCAAGTCAATATGTTTGTCGATTTGCAGTTCTTCAAGTTTTATGTCACTCTCAAATAAATCTCGTAAGCAGCAGTTTAGAATATCATCATATGTAATAGCCTCCGAATACACGTCAGTAATAATGACAGTTCTTAAATTAGGCAGTTTTACCAGGTTGTGAGT